TTGCCTTGACTGTATGTAGGATGCAGGTTTTTTGGTCTCCTTATTATTTGTGTAAGAGTTTTCTTTGGCTTCATTTCTAGCAAATATAAAAATTTCGATTTAATTATTGAAAATTCTTCAACATCATTGTCATTGAGATCTTTTGCAATAGTAAAATCTGTAGTTTCATTTTGCTGTCTAACTTTAATTTGGCCAGCTGCAACAAATTTTTCATATAAAGCTTTGTAAATTGGAGAACTTGATAATTTCTCAGTATCAAGTATCTGGGTTTTTTTCTTACAGTAAAAGCATATTAATTCTTGATAATTTCTTTTCATATATGTTTCTAATGCCAGGTAACTTATCTTGTGGTCACATGGAAGTATTCTAAAATCATCTGTAACTTCTTGTGTAAATGGACATATAAGATGATCTGCTACCATGTCTAGAATTAATAAATCATTTGGATTTGAATCAAGCAGTTTCTCAGGTGTTTGCTCTGATATGGTATCCTTCTGATTCAAAACTGATATTTCAAAGATTACTCTTTCAGTTGTCTGATTAATATATGTATGTTTTTTGTCAAAATAATCTTTAGTATTACAAAATTCTTCCTTGTTCAAATCAATTTGCACAACTGAAAATGGTTTTGGTTCTCTTTTGTGAATTGTAAGCAAGACTTCTATTGCTTTAAATTGAATAAATTTTGTTGTTACTATGTCAAGAGATAATTTTGCAAGGTAATAACAATGAGCCAAAGTGCTAAGATGTTTTGAATGGATGACCAAGCTTTGAGCAATTTCCAATATGCCATACAATAATGAGTATGGATATGACACTGGGGCATAGTCATTGACATGACTTAGAGTGCTATTTAGTTTACATTTTGAACCACCTGCTTTAGATTCTGATTTTGTAACTGCTCTAGTCCATTCTTGTTCTCCAAATCTCCACAAATCTTTAATAATCATTAATTCCCCTTTGTCAATTAAATCTTTGTGGATTGGAATGGCAGACCATTCAACAAATGCTTGGTACATACAATATAAATATCTCCAATCCTTGTACCAGTAACTAACAGAAAATTTTGAATCCAAGGCTTTTTTAAACTTTTTGTAAGTTGTAACAGTGGTTTTGTTATCAATTGGAGTTTCCACATTTGCAAGAATTTCAGTATTACCAGTACCAGGTAAAAGTTTGATTAATAGTTCAAACAGATCCCTTAACTGCTTTGTAATGTCAAACCAAGTTGTCTTATCATTATTCATTATCATCACATAAAGAGTGTCACGAATATGCATGATTAAGAAATCAATATTGTAATTCTGGACTGGGTCCTCTTCAAATACTTTAGTATGCTGTTGATAAAAGCCATATACAGTTGCTAGATGTCCATATAATGTCTCACAGAATTTGCTTTCAATTATGAGAGATTTCTTGCTATATGCTTCTAATGCTAATACATATGTTCTCAAATGAAGCTCTAAGTCCATACTGGTTGTATCTGTATGACTGCTATATGAGATACTATCAGTTCCTATTGTCTGCAACACGTTTTCCAACTGATAAATCTTCAGTCTAGTCTCAGTTGATAATAACAGATTATGTAATCTGATAAGATAAGATTTTCTGTCATCATTGTTATTAATATATTTCAAAATCTTTTTCAAATGTGCTTTTAGTTGAACTTTGTCCAAGTTCTTATAATAGTCAATTGTATCTGTATTTTCATCCATTTTGTTGCTATCATCATCACTATCAAACTCAATGAGATTCAACTCAGCTACATCTTCTTCAAGCTCTGCATTTTCAATCTGCTTGCCTTTGCCTTTGTTTTTGATATATGAAAACGATTGTTTGAAATCCTACAAGTATGAACGAGTTGTTCATTAGTCATGATATTTGAATTTATAAGATATGCTATTTTATACAGCTGATACATTATGAACGCAACACGTCATATATAATATATTGAATAAATGTACCGCCATCTCCAAATGTCAATGATGGTTGGAAGTGTAAGAGATGTACGATCTATTTCTACACAGTCGTACAACTGGATAAGAATCAGGGCCCTAATTATAATAGTAATAGGGGTTTAGCAAATTACAGTAATAGTAATTAGTATTCTTGTTATAAAATATCAGGTGTTGCTTTATTCTTTTATGTGTATTATTGTTCACAACAAGATGATAACGATGGTGACAAATACAAACCACTTTAAATTGTTCAATGTGCAGACTTTGGTAATAACAATTCTGGTGCTCAACGTTAATCGATTGAGCTCTTTGATTCTATGGACGTTTTTTCCATATTTTTCCTTCGAACAGATACAGAAACATTTTATAATAATTCATAGCTACTCACATAAACTTCAGTCTGACTCGGTCATGGAAATTTCCTGATAAATCAACGAAACCGCTTTCCTGCATGTTGCCAACCATTTAAAGCACAATTTGTCATAACACTCTTTTCATTGTCTGATCGAGGCAACTTAAATCGAATGTCAAGGTACATGCTCTTGTTTTCCTTTACGTGTTATGGTGCAGTTAAATCCCAGTCTTCAAATCGTAAATCGAGTAATGCGTAAATTCACAAAGAAAAAAATACAATACATAATACTTGTCAAACGTTCACGCTAAACTGTCTATTGATATGTGTAATTCTCAAACACAAATTTTTAACATTCGCCTTTAACTGATCAGCCAAATTTGAATCTCCCCCTTGAAATTATGATATTTGCCGAGTTGAATGACGTTAAATTATTATCATTGTCCTTACTCTTCAAACAATAGTAATAGCCACATACTCTACGCGAAGAAACCATGAATAATAACAAGCCAAATAAACCATTTACTTTTGGTTTCTCACAGAGCTCGTCCAATAAAAGCACGAAATCAGTATTCGATACTGGCGATTCTCCTCGTCATAAGCTTCCGCCATTAGATCAATCTTCAGAAGATGAATTGCAACCCAAGAAACGAAAGCTCGTTAAATTGGACGACGACGAGCCATTAGAAAGCAGTAAAACGGAAAGCAGGTCAACTGCAGGAGAGCGGGAATACAAAGAACACGAGTTTGTTGGTGATCTTGAAGACGATAGGCCAGCACAGCCGACTACCTCGACAGGTTAAGAGTTTAATACTGCAACCCCATTCTAATTGACTTGTTTGTATTTACAAAATACCATTTGTTGTTGACTGTAGGTATAAGGGGGTTTGTACCGCAGGGATATAGTGGCAGTAGGGGGGTAGAAAAGCCTGTCTCTACAAAATTGACAGCTCCCAAACCAACAGCACCACGAGAGAATGAGGACGAAGAAGAGGATGATCCATTGGATGCGTTCATGCTCGATATAGATAATCAAGTGAAGAAGGAGAGTATGGAAGATTCTCAAAAGGAAAAGGTAGGTTAAAATTCTTGATATATTGCCTTCTTTTTATTCGAGTATGTGTCTTGGTGACTCATATCGTTTCTCAACTGTCACGTTACAGATACGTAGGGATGATATTGAAGACGAAGATTATGTAGAGAGTTATGTCAAACACATGAAAAAGAGAGGCATTGAAATTGGCAAAAGTCAGAAACAGACAATAGAAAGGGATGAGGTTGATATGATTAAACATGTGGAATGCTGTTGATTAAATAACAAGAGATCAGAATATTCATGTGTAATCTTTATTAGAACGTTGACTCGGATGAAGAAGTTTATGCAACGGCACGAGCTATTGATGCACAATTAGAGTATGTGTTGAAAAGCTTTTTATTATATAATACAAAAACACCTTTACTCATCGTCAATGATCATCTTTAGATATGATTCAGATGATAACCTTATCGTGGAACCGAAACGCAAGGATATTGAGCCTCTCTCCGCCGTTGGTAATTAGCGCGTAAAGATTTTACCATCGTAATGTATGAAAAATAATGAATTGAATTGGTCATATCTGTTTTTACAGATCATTCGCAGATCGAGTATCCTGAGATTGAGAAATATTTCTACGAAGAGCATCCTGAAATTGCTGCAATGTCGGAAGAGAAATTGAGGCAGATTAGAAAGGATTTAGGTATGGCATGCATGCAACTTTTATTGAGAAAACGCGTGAAGAGACGATCTTGTACAGTATGGTTTGATGCATGCTAAATGCCCGCGTGTGTACGGCAAAGGCACAAAAAGAGAGAAAGACTGCTGCTGCACAATAGAATTATTGCATGCATCAAACCATATTGTTTAACAGTAATGAACCACGTTCATGCCAAAACGTGTCAATTCATACTATATCAGTCAATCTTGATAATCTTGCGGCACTGAAACTGATAGTATATCTTTGTTTCTATTACGTTGTTATCTGATATCAATTCCACTCTGTTTTTCCTCCAGACATGCACGTCTCTGGTGTTGATGTTGCTAAGCCATGCATCGCATTTGCACATTTTGGTTTTGATGAAGCATTAGTGGATAATATTGTCAAGCATGGTTACAGCGAACCTACAGCTATTCAGAAGCAGGTATATACTATCTCAGCATGTGAGTTTATGTTATCGTTCTATGCTTACGCGAACGCGGTTTTGTCGTATTAGGCGGTGCCGGTTGCTCTCTCAGGAAGAGATATTATTGGAATAGCCAAAACAGGTAACATAAAATATCAATCAGTATATTAACTATTATTCTTGATACTACTAAATTAATGTTTAATTTTTTTAATCAGGTTCTGGTAAAACAGCAGCATTCATATGGCCAATGTTGATTCATATCATGGATCAACCAGAGCTTCAAAGCGGTACCTATTTTTATATCATAGATTCGTCGGCTATCAAATGAAACTATACTATTCCGTTTAAGAAATGGCGCCATTGTCATTATTACTACTATTACTGTTGTTGTTATATTATTTTCTAAAACCGAGCTTTGTTTTAATTCAAAGGCGAAGGCCCGATAGGCTTAATTTTGGCACCCACTAGGGAACTGGCCGGTCAAATCTACACCGAGGCCAAGAAATTTGCCAAATGCTATGGTCTGAGGTAGAAGTAACAGAATGTTTAGCGAGTGAGTTGTATGAAAACAAGAGGCATGAAGACGACACACACTACTTTCTCTCTTCTCTCTGCAAATCCATCTACCATTGATCAATGCTATGCAGAGTTGCAGCTGTGTATGGCGGTGCTTCAAAAATGGACCAATTCAAGGAGCTTCGGCCAGGTGGAATTGAGATTCTTGTCGGTACGCCGGTGAGTAGATTCATGCTTGATATCCGCATGTACGCGTACAGCGGTTGCATCGGATGTTGTGTTTTAGCTAGTCAAACTTTTTTATGAAATTTATCGTTGATCATGAATTGTACATTATAATCAGGGACGACTTATTGATATGGTCAAAATGAAAGCAACCAACTTTCGTAGAGTTAGTTTCTTAGTACTTGATGAGGCCGATCGAATGTTTGATCTTGGATTTGGTGGGTTTCTTGGATAAATTGAAAATCCCTAGAGAAGATAAAGATCTAATATGGCTTCTTTTTCACCATAATCTTTCTCGATTCGCAGAACCACAAGTGCGTTCTATTTGTGACAATATTCGACCAGATCGACAGAGTATGTAAAACACCGTCCTTAATCGGTTTCGTATTACTGCGTGTTTATTAATATTTTTACTTTCTTTTAGCATTACTATTCAGCGCGACATTTCCCAAGAAAGTAGAAAGACTCGCGCGTGAAGTTACCACAGCACCAATCCGGATAAGCATTGGCAACGTTGGACAGGTAATAAATTTATCTTGTAATGAGTTATAATTGTTATTGAAATGCTCATAGGACGTATTTATTTTTAGGCGAATACGGATATTACTCAAGTAATAGAAATAGTGCCCGATGATGGATACAAATGGGGATGGCTTATGGCTCACCTGGTTTCGTTGTGTCTCGGTGAGCAGTACGATAGACTCTTATGCTTTTCAAGTGTTGCTTACATTGCATGCTCTAATACATACCTTTCCATACTAGAGGGAAGCGTTCTTATTTTCGTTAGTCGTAAGGGCGGTGTCGACGAACTATCGATGAATATCAAAGAGAATGGTTATAAATGTACGTAATATAATTTTTTGCAATTATTATATAATTTGATAAGACTGGCTCACTTTGTATATGACATTTTCTTTAGGTGGTGCTTTACATGGTGACATGCTTCAATATGAACGAGACAAAGTATTAAGAGAATACAAGAATAACGAGTTTCCCATATTAGTAGCAACAGACGTTGCAGGTAAACTATCGAAATTAATTATGAACGAGGATACAATGATTAATTCTATTGACGGTACTTTTTGTTCATTGTAACAAAAAGCGAGGGGGCTTGATATTAAATCTGTCAAGACAGTGGTCAACTATGACATAGCACGGGACATTGATTCGCACGTGCATCGTATTGGGAGAACAGGAAGAGCAGGTATGCTAAATTCATCCATACATTATAGATATGATAAAATGATTCTAACTAAACTATAACAGGCGAAAAGGGAACTGCATATACTCTGATAACACAAAAGGAGGACAGCTTTGCTGCTCAGTTGGTTAGGAATTTGGAAACTTCTGGACAGACTGTTCCTGATAAACTACTGGAATTGGCAATGAGGGTAAGAAGATCTACTGTGGACAATTCTATTCATAGGACTCTTGCATATGATTGTCACATACCACAATTTCTAATATGGGACATTTCAATAGAATTCAAAGTTTAGGAAATCTCGACAGATGATTCGTGGGGGCGGCCGTGGTCGAGGAAACAGAGGCAAAGGTAAACGTGGTAGAGACTTCGGAGGTATGCAAAAAGTCGATAATGCATAAAGGACAATGCAAATTGACATAAATGTTCGTCCCAATAATAATACATAAAATTAATGTGTCACATTCCAGGGCGTGGAGGGATAGGCGCAACTGGTGCAAACGCTATCCCACGGGGCAATACTACTCGATTGCCGACTCAAATTCCTCCGCCTCCGCCTTCACAAAGCAGCGAGAGTAGTTACTCTAGTCATGGCAATGTTTCAAGCACTCAATCGCGGTATCAGATAAGTTTTCAAAAAGCCACAGCTGCCGAGCCTGCGTTGGGAAGCTTGCATACTGGCAGTCAGAGTGGGCAGAGCGGGCAGAATGCAGGGTCTAGCTCTTCGGTCAAGAAGAGACGGTGGGATTCGTGATCGACATTAGCATTTTCTTTGTGTTTATCAATAAATCTGTTTGTACTTTTATATCAAGAATGCTTGGCGTAAATCATGTTCATACTTTTTTGTTTACCCATAATCAATTCTTCTTACATCTGATAAAGATCGTATGTAGTACATTAGCATCATTATCTCGGCAGTCAAACATTCGATCTGCCTTTTAATTATTTCTTCTCTTTTGAATTTTCTCATTCGAATCTTCTTTCGCAAGTTTGCGGGATGACAAATAAAACTAATAACGATAAACTATAAACTACTCACAGCGTCTAACCAGTTATGGTATGTACAACATATTAGCCCCTTATGGTCATACAATTTAAAACATATTAATATTAATGTCAGTTCCAGCAACCGTCTCGCAAACGCTTTTCAACCATGCAACACTTTCACACCTCCTACGCTCTTTTTTTCTTCCTAACCACCCTCATTCTTTTCACAACTATCTCATCCGCCCACCCTCTACCACCAAACACAGCAGATGTAGCGCTGAACGTTGACGTAGCCGATCCCTCTATTCCATATTTAAAAATCGAGCCCAGCCTTGCGGAGGAGCTTTTGGATATAGTCAAGGTTATAAAATTTTCCACGGAGAAATCCTCCGAGGATGGTATTCTAAGGGAACTAGTCAGTGCATTAAAAGTATTGGCTCTTCACGGCGGAGATTATGAAGACATTAAGCGAGTTGTGTCGTTAACGGAAGAGCTAGCCCAAGGAAGGGAAGACGATTTTTTGGCAGGCTATATTTTACATGTCGGCAAACAATTGTTGGGAGAATATGAAACACCGAGTTTCGAGGATAATAAAGAAAGTAAAGAGAGTAATGAAATTGAAAAAGTCGAACAGGATACTGCACAAA